TAACAGCACCTTTTCCCATTCAATAGAAATAAGTGATCCAAGAAAGGAGTTTAACCAACTTTATTACAAGAATTTCATTTTAAACAAATTTGTAGCGTTTAATGGTCATTTTAACTCATGATTTTTTGTGTAATTACTGGAAGCTCCCGGGGCAACCAAAAGGGTCCTTCTGATTGGAAAGAGCTATTCCGTCAAAAGAAAGCGCCAAAAAATTGCTCCGCCTAACGGGAGCTTATTTTAAAAATTAGATCAACTGGATGAGTCGATTTATTCATGACTGTAGCTCATTGTCAATTAGAAATAAGATTTAATTAGTTTGATACTGTAGCTTTTAGCCAAAAAATGGTACTTGACATGAATTCTAACATAAACCCTGAAAGTTTTAAATTTATGCTGGACTGCTAAACAATATTCAACAAGAAAAAGCAAAAAGACATGAAGATATTTTATTTTGCTTGGAACTTTTTAAAAACAGACTTTAAAAATTTGATCACAAGTTCTTCAACGTTTCACCAATCCGCGAGCTTCTTACAAATAAATCGAGTCACTTCAAAGCTGGTAAACTTCAAGGTTTGTCGCATTTTGCAAGAACAGGGTCATCGCTGCACATCGATTATTTTTTTTAATCAAATTGATTACTTAAAGCACCCGTTATGGCGGGATATCTGCTTGCACTTATTGGTTCGCCGCCAAAATAATCAACTCAAGTCCCATGACTACAACTTCCCGTTCCAAGCGTCCCGTTGCCCCACCAAATGTTGTGCACTGCATATTGTTTCGTAGATACGTAGATTTGCCTTTGAGATATGCACGCTTATAAATGTCGGTCAAAGCATGTGCACCCCAATAAAATTAGATCAGATCAAATTTGATCAAATTAGGGTATTCCTTTCACACAAGAGGCAATCAAATCTTGAATTTTCCAGTGATGATTAGACCAAATTTTTGGTCTAATCATGCGATAACTGGCGGAGGCGATGAGATTGCACAGTGTGAAGACAAAATAGATGATCGACAGGCTGAAATCGATCTTTAACATCAAAAGATTTACGTTGATTTTCGTCCATTATCGTCAAATTCTTCTCGACTCAACCTGTGATTCCCGTGCTCTGATCGGCCAAACTTCGAAGCCGTGCTTCGAAGTTTGACTAAATTAAAGGATGTTACGCTCGCAACATCCTTTACTTTGTCGCCTCGTTTCCTTGCTTCCATAATCTTTTTCTTTGTCGGGGTGGTCAGATAGGCTCCAGGCATCACTAGAATAAAAAATAATAAAACATTGTTATGTGAAAAATAACGAAACAACAGCAAGAAAATAAAAAGTTGAAAAGGGGTAAAGACTTTTGTCCACCTTTTTTTGTTAACGTCGTTCTTTGTTGCCTAAAATAAATCGTTGTTTCTTTTGGTTATGGGATATAAAAACTAGAGTAAAAATGCTACAAAATACTTTGAAAACAATTTTTAAAACTTGTTAAAAGTTGAAAAATTTTGCGTTTTAAAAGCTGACCTCGGTAGGGGTAAAGACTTTGTCCATGACTGTATTTGTGGTTGCTTTGAAAGCTCCAATGTTTAAGCCTAGCTTAAAATGGTAGATTGGCTAATTTATCAAAGTTAATTCTGTTAGGTGATTTCCCCATTCTACATGCTTAAATTTAGTTACTTGCCTATTGTGAAAGAAATTGGCTATGTATATCGACTTGAAAACAAGGAATGGATCGATCTCACACAGGGAGGCAATTTAGATCTTCATTTTCTACGATAACCAGCAAAAAGAGGATCAGTACAGGATGCTTGCATATGCTGGAACACATGTATGGTTGCTTTTATGAATGTTGTGACGAGCTTGTGTTTCAACCGATTTTTCCGATGACTTCTCTAAGCGCAAATTGGAAATTCGCATGTGCCAGCCAGAAATTTCATCTCACTTAACACTGGAGAACGAACTTTTGGATTTGGGTTCAATCATCCAAAAGATGGAAAAGCGGTTGTGTTTAGTTATTATGTTTATTAATTATTCCGGTTTAGTTTGCGATGCAATTAGCAGCTGTTTACTTGGTTATGCAAGGAAATGAGGCAACGCAAGAAAAGCTAAAGGACGACTTGCTGATCTAGCAGTTAGCAAGGTTTTTTGAACTTTTGAATTGTTTTTGTTGCAAAGTTTAGATCCAAGCTGCACTTGTCAACCAGGAGTGTTTTGATCGAACTGCCATCAATTTGTTAGCCGGATACAAGGATCATTTCAAGGTATTACTTCAATGTAAATATTTAATAGGTTTTATTTATGTCGCTCAAAATCGGCCCAGAAATAAAGCGAGTTTGGGGAAAATGAAAGAAGAAAAGGATTAGGGGGAGATGCAAACTTGCTCAAGCAAAGTCTAACTGCGCAGGTTGGGTTGTTTATTGATATAAGAAGTAGCTCGAGTTTAGGAACAACAACGACACATGATAGAAAGAAAAGAGAGAAAGCAAGCTAGGATATCCTAGGGAGCAGATCAATTTTTTCAACAATCAAAACAAGGGATTCGAACAAAGTGGAATCTAACGCGAACATGTGCCGCCTAATCTTATTGTATTAACTTTTAATTTTGTATTCTTAATTTTCAAGGTTAGTTATCACAACGGCGGCACAGCTACAGTGATATACCGCATCAAAACGTTGGAAGTGCTGGAGGGGCCATGAACATTCAATCACCTCGCTCATTTACACAAATGGATACCATACATCGAGCAAATATCAATAATGAGCCATTAAGCATACTGGCTTAGTCGCAACAAAAAGTCGGGCGCTCTCGTCTGCAAAGCTTGCCTACAAAGGGAACAACTTGAGTATGGACCTGGATTACTCGCAAGAAGGGATCTCGCCAAACAAACATTTGCTGTTTCAACGGTTTTTTTTATGATCTTTCTCATCAAAGACTCTTTCAGCTCTCTGATTTGGCACAAACTTCTTTCTCATCACCAGCGGTTGCCACTAGTGGGGATGCCATGCCCGATTTGCAACGTCAGCAGTTACAGATCGTATGTTACATCTTTGGAATCTTTACAAGTTTTCTTTTAGATGAATGCCATACAGCAAGGCTATGGAATGCAAGGTTTAGTCGGGATGGCCGATCACTCAAATTTTCATCTTCCAGGAATGCCAATACCTGCAAGAATTGCAGGTTTTTTCTGAATTTTGATGTAAAATTTTCAAGATTTAGAGTTGTTTTCGCCACCTTCAAGTATTCAATCAACAACCAATAATGGCCGTTCAAAGAGCAGCGTGGGAGCTACCACTACGGTTAGTTGGATTGAAAATGTGTTTTATTAGATTTTATTCGACTTTTAGAGGTAGTGGATACAACTTCTCGCCTTCGCTGACGTTCTGACGTTTTTGCAGACAATCAACCTACGGATAGTCATGCTTCAAGGTTTAAGTACTTCTCAGGTCTGTTGAATTGTACTTCTGATCAATCTCATAATGTTCAGGGTCTTGGATCGCCTTATTCACCGTCACTCTCGTCGGACGCTTCTTCAAATCCTTACTTGAACGCTCAGATGCCCCATCCGAACAATATGGAGGTTGAGTTTTCATCTAGTTGGTTGTTGATTTGATTTATTTAGCATATCGGATCGCCAGCTTCTCCATCACTCTCATTAGAAGCTCTTCTTAGTCCATTCTCACCGCTGCCACAACACAAGTTCGATGAAGATCATGTAAAAACTAAAAAAGACAGACAACTCGAACTTTCCTTGTTTTAGATTTCAGGCTTTGATCGATTGTCAATGAATGTTCAAGCAATCGGTGCTCATCAAGTGCCCAAGGTGCATCATACTTTCTTGTGATGCGCAAACTCTTATTTGAACAACACCCACACGACGTCATCGACTCCATCAACAATGGCGACATCGAGATCCCAGCTGAATAGATTCAATTTTTATGTTTTCATGGTTTCGTTGATAGTTTTTGTTTTTCATTGGCCTGTTATTATGTTTTTTCTTTGGTTTTGGTCTTAACTTTCATTCTTTAGTTGCGACGTAATGACACCTCAATTGCGTTTCTCAAAGGATTTTGATTCTTTCACGGTGGAACGGGATCATTTGGACGTGGTCTATGGCGAAAAGACTTTTCGTCTTGCTTACCCGATCAACGGAGAAAGGAAATTCTCGGTCGAGGCTTGGGGCAACACGAAGATTCTGTTGCCGGAAATGTTGCTTGAGGTCTCTTTTTATTTCATCATTTCATAATTCAATTTCTCAATATCATACTAGAATAATTATGCTTAAGCTGCAAATCCTTTTCATGATCTAGGTTAAATAGAGATATTAGAAATAATATCATCATTATAAACTTTTAATGCTAAAATCAAGATATTTCGCATGGAATACTTGTAAATGTCCAGGCTGGATTCGAAGATGTGCTGATATTGGGTCGATTTGTGGAGAAACTTGCAAGTATTGCTGGCTATCAGCAGGTTCAGTTTTAAATTTTTTTACGATTGAAAGTTCTTAGCTTGTGCTTATTTAATTCGTTAAATTCAGATTTTAAATAGGAATTTTCATGAGGTTATGAGAATTCAAGCAATCAATTTTAGGTACGTGTTGACGAAGAAAATTTATCGGCAAATACGTCATGTGGTTCGGAATACGAGGATGAAATTGACGGGGAGATCGATTGTCTTTGTTGGCAATCTAAAGCAAAAAAGGTCAGTTTATAGATCTCCTATTATTCTTATATTGTCATTAGCTGATTGAAATGAAACATTGCGAGAACCTATAAAGTGCACACCACAGCAACAGTTAACTGAAATATTGCTCATTTTCTTTTTTGATGTTGATTTATTTTTTATTTCTTCCTTTAGGTGAATCTGCATCGGCCTCGTCCAATCTTGATGTTTGTCGAAGATAAGGTCCTCCCTCTCGGCTTTTCCTTCCCTGGCGGCAGTGCCGGATATTTCGAGATCACTCAAACTCCAGGCGACACCCACTATCGATTTGCCTATATGCCGGGTGTGAATCGCATGTATGAAGGAGAACCGGAAGACTTCGGTCGCCGAGCAATGGGAAGAGCAACTTATCTCATGCATAATGTAATGTTACAGGTCAGGGTTTTCTTCTGATTGTAGTTATTCTATAGAATTTATGGGATCTGATTTTGAAATTTAAAGCTTATGATTGTTGTGCTTTAGAGTCCACCCAACCCAAACAATCAACGTGTGTTTAAGCTGCGTAATGGAAGACGCAGAGTTGCTGCGGGCCCGTTTGTGAATCTCGCCGAGGTCGATGTGTTCGTGGATTTGGGCGTGGATTCGATTCGAGTTTGGAACGCGGGCCTTGAGCAGAATAATGTTTCCTCAATTCCAGGTTTTTTCAAGTTTCATCATTTGATTTTGGTTTAAGTAAAAAAGCTGGAGTGTGATATGTTAGATTCAAATCAACTCCTCGGTTATGAGAGCATTAAAATCTTTAAAATTTACGAAAAATGCTTTTATGATATTAATTTTTTCAAAAAATTTAGATTTCGTTATGGTCAGCTTCATCGTTCAGAAAAATCTCAAACTATCTCAAAAATTAGTTGGCTTGTGTTGTAAATTAACGTATTTCAATCAATGTTTGTCTTTCCAAATCACTGTTTATCTGAAGAAAAGTTTGTTACCTAGGCCGTCAAAGAATTGAATGAGCTATGAATTTTTTTCCTGCTATGGTTTATGAATATAATGAAGACTAGAAAATGATGTCAATTGTCAATTACTGAATTTTTGCTTGAATCACGAGAATCTTTGGGATGATGTTCTGCGGGAACTTGTAGGGGGTGCTAGCTGCAAACATCACGATTGCTTGACCTAATCTAAAGAAAATTTTTAAGATAGTCTATCTAAAATTTTCACCTTTGACGGGGGAACCCGACCGCGAGACAATTCATTACCGCCAAACACACACCGGGAAACACTGTCGTCACCTAAACATTGAGGTCTTACGAACAGTTTTACTTTTACCAACCTGTTGAGGAGTTAAATGTTCTTGTGAAGTAAAAACGTGAACTTGCTCCGGAACGGTTGGAATTAGCCCAGTTCTTCGGGTTATCTAAAAACATTGTAAAGTGCAAAGTAAGAAACACACCTCTAGAGCGCTTTCAAAGTCGGCTTGTTGACATTTAATCAGCAGGAATTGATTTGACGAAGGTCTTCAGAGCCAGCGAAAATCTTGGCAGGAAAAAACTTCCGGGTGATGCTCGTGCACAAGTAAATATTTAAGCGGTACCTTTTAATAATTGTTTTTTAGCAAAGCTATCTGTTTGGGAAACATGGGATCATCGTTGGCGGAGCTCCAAACATTTCACAAGCTGCTGCCGTGGAAAAAGTCGTGGTACCCGATGGTAAGAATAACTTGCTAAGATCCGGTTTCAATAATTCTGTTTAGACGAAAAGGCCATAAACGACTTAACAGATCGAGTGCGTCTTGAAGCTGAGCGGGCTTTTTTCAATCAGGTATGTTGAATTATATAAATAAATCGTCAAGTTCCAGGCGCTTCTCAACCGGTCCCATCCATCATTTCATAGTGTTCGTCCTCTCCCTGGTTCGACCCCCACCGCCGGCAACTTTTGACGGTTTTTTCCACTTTTCTCAAATATTCTTTTTGCTATTTTTAATGACTTTTTGTACACAATTCTGTATACAAATTTATCTAAAAAGTTGCAGGTTTTACTTCGCATTTCCATGAAAACTATTGCCTGTTGGTAAAAAATGAATTTCATTATTGTAATCAGCATGCTCGACTGGCGTTTGCATGGTATTTTCGGGTGGAAATCCCACCGCCTGGTCATTCCCTTGTTAATTAGAGAAAAATGCTCACTTCTCATGTAAACATGTAAACTTCAACTTGCAATACGGTGGTCTTTTCATTATTTCAATGCTGATGTTACACCCTGAATTTCCATTTGATCATTCGTCCGTGCAAAAGAAATCCTTGAACTATGTTTCAGCTATCCTAAAACTTAAAAAACCAATAAAAAGCTGATTCTGCTTACTCGCACTTACTTACTTTCTGTGTGTTCCCATTGTGTGACTTGATTCAACCATTCTGAATCAAATTGAATCCAATTGTCGGGATCCGGGAATTTCTGAATAGATTTTTTAAGAGTCAAAGTTGAGGATCTCTCGGAAATGAAACCCTCAAATGAGCTAAATGAATTACCACGAACATCGTCGAGAGGAAAACCAGGAACTTGAGAAAATTAGGCTTAAATCCGGAGTCAAATCCAATGAAGCAATCGATCAAAGCTACAGTTACACTGCATGTGGCTGAAAATTTTCTCATTCAGAATTTCTCTGGATTCGGATAATCAGAAACAGCCTCGATTTGATAGCTCATTTGGTAGAGATTGCGGGTTCGGATCCCGGCAGCTTTTTTGTTTTCTATTCCCAATCCAACTCAGATAATGACTTGGCATGACCAACTTTGGGTCACTGTTTCAACTTTTACTTGAATAGATCGACAAACTTGAAAAATTGTCGGATCGACATCGCACGGCATTTCCAACTTTACCGCTACGTTCAGCCCAAGCAACGACACCCCAATTCAGTTGTCCGGGCTCTGTCTAAAAGCTACAGCTTGACCAAAATAGATCGATCCCTTGTCCCTTGATTTTCACGGGACTGAATAATCAAATCAGGCTCTATTTTGTATGTGAGATATTAGAGATTAGCTCATTAAAGTACCACATTTGGAAGACTATACGACGTGTCCAACCCTAGGTAGAAATCGATAATCATTGTAGAGTGGACTCTGTAATTTTTTGCCTTTATTGTTTTAATAGATGCAATTTCCCAATATCGGGATTAGGCATTATCGAGTTATTTTATAATGAAATTACCCGCAAACGAAGGAAATGAAAAATAGTAACCAAATGGAAGACATTTCGTTGCACTTGTTCAATCAAAAACGATGCAGAAAAGACAAATCGAATGTGTTTTTGATTAATTCTACCAGCGACTTCTTTTTCTATTTTCAGAACGATTTTTAGAAATAACACGCTTCTCTCAAGATCACTCAACTTTTTGCATTCGCATGACGCGATTAGGATTCTAGCGTTCAATTTTAAGTTTAGAACAATACAGGGTGTTCAATATTTATGGGGACTAATCAATCGCTAGATTTAAAGCTCGTTTTGTATAAATCTAATGTTAGAAAAGAAACAAACACAAATGGCCTAGGTCTGACTCTTTTAGTTGTAATTTGGTGCTCGAGTTCCAATGAATCTTGTCAGAAAAAAAGTTACAAAATTAGTACAATTGTGCCTCGAGATCGTGGTTCTTCCTTTTCGTCTCGGCGAGTTCGCTGATTTTTTCTCGGGCCTCGACGAGTTCTTGTTGGGTTTGATTCCTGAAAAGTCTTGTCATTGAGGCACTCAAGCCTATTTCTTGTTTATTCTATCAATTTCGCTTTTCTCTCAAAAAAACTCACCAATTTCTTTGACAAGATCTCAAACGGACGGTATCCGGACAATCCTCTTTACTGCTGAAATCTAAGATGATCGAAAAACCCCTTTCTAACCAACTTCAAAGTACGACGATCACCAGACAGAATTTCATCTCGATCTATCGGAGATCTGAATGGTTGACAACATAGCTATTTGAAGGGAAAAGAATACGTGGATGGATCCAATTGATCGCTTTGTTGAATCGACGATGAAATTTGATGGAAAAGGAGGGGAATCGTGATGAATAGACCCAAGGCCATCACACCCATTCTGCTGAATTGGTTGATTAGTTTTGAATTCGGGGAAATGGGAAGAACGAATGGAGGGACGATCCGACACACAATTCTTTTTTTACGGAAAAGAGCTTTTGAGAGCTCTGAAATTGTTTAGGAAAGCGATTTACTCATTAAGCCGTTGAAAGAATCGCTTCGAATCGAACTTCGTGCAAAAAAAAGTAGCATTTCGGGAAAAAGAAAGCCGTCAGTTCGTGTGAAGTTGGTGAGTGAGAAAACGCGGAGTTATCAGGAGACTACTTTCGGGGAAGGTTAACTGAACCGACCGTTCCCATCAAATCGCCAGAATTGTTCCTCAATCCCCGCGGGGAAGCTATCTATCTCCCCCCGGCGTAAACAATTTTTTCTAGAGCCTTTTTGACTTCTCCAACTTCAAAATTCAAAGCTCCTCGAGGTGTCATCATTGTTGATTGTTTTTTTTGGTTGTTCTATGTTTTTTAAGTTGTTTTGTTTTAAAGCAGAACATTTTTATAAAAAGCATAGGTAAACAAAACTTCTCTTATACGGAGACTGCTCAAGGCATTAAAACTGTTAATCGGATGAGGAGTAGCTTTCTCAGATCAAATTTCTCAAATCGAACTCGAGACAAAGAAAGGAGATCACAAAAACCTTGAGACACCGAGGCATCAAGATGATGAGGTTGGTCAAGATGATGAGGTGGAATCTTCCTTTCCCTCCTCGATGTCTTCAGAGCATCTCTTCTTTTTCCAAATCTCCAGAAATGCCCGAAATGACTGAAGAATTGTCTGAAAAGGGTGTCAAACGCATAGAAGAATCGGCCATCTCGTTGAAGAAAATCGCCCAACTCGAAGCCGATTTGTGGGTTTTTCACCAAACCTTTGCTTCTATCAAAAAAAGTCTTTAATTTAATTTTGAATTTTCTCGAAGAACAAGTGAAAATTAAAGGAAAAGGCTACTAAATAAGCAGAATTGATGAGAAAATCAAACCAGAAATTTGTTGCCAAGCAAAATACGGATTTCTTACCAAATAAAGAGAAAGGAGGGGAATACCCGATTCGTTTAGTCATCATTCGTCAACCAAAAACAATCAATACTCATTTCAGCGAAAACTGAAAACGAAACCTGCTACAAAACAACAATGATTTGGGGAAGAAATAGAATGAGAACACCCGGATTTTCTCAATAATTTGCCAATATTCAGACTACCAGGATTCGAGTCCTTTTTTAGTGGCTCCCCACAGTATTGCCTTTTTCCGTCATTTTCGAAATAGCAGACTCTTTGTGAAAAGTAATTCGTTTGACTGATAGTTCTTTGATAGAACGTAAAGTCGATTCTCGTTGATCTCTATTATAAAGGTCTTTAGACACTGTCGTCACTATGCTTGACTCATTATTTTTTTCATTTTTCTAGCAAATTCTTGAACGCTTTGGTGACATTTTCTTGATTCTTGTCGAAGTTTCAAAATTACGCAAGAGAAAATTGAGCAATTGGGATGGGAACTTCTAGTTTATCCGTCTTATAGTCCAGATATTGCCCCGTCTGAATACCATTTATTTCAAAGTATGCGGCATTCACTCGAAGGCTACAAGTTCCAGAACTTTGACGACATCAAAAAATGGGTCTCTGCTTTCTTTCAATCAAAAACAGCACAATTCTTTCAAGAGAGTATCCAGAATTTGTAGCAAAGATGGAAAAAATATCATTGATAGCTGTGGGGGAATATATTGTTGATTAATTGTTTCTAGTTTATTTTTACGAATAAATTTTTGTTACTGCACAAAAACGAAACTTCAATGTCGCCAGCCTAATACAAATTCTCTTTTTTCGTACAGAGAGCAACGCAATACAATTCTCTGTACTTGCAAAAACAGAAGTTCACTAGTTCATTGATCGTGTGAACTTTCTGTTATCCTTTTCCAAAAAAAAATTCTCTTTTGTTGTTTAGACAAGAGAAAAACTCTAATTATCCTTTAAAAAAATGAGAGGACGGGATTAAAATGAAAGAATCGTCGATGAGCTCATCCATTATCCTTTTCTCTTTTCGTTTTTCATCATTCATTCTACAATGAATCCACATTTATGTGGGAATGACAACATCTACAATATGCAAAACCCATGTTCTATGAGATTTCAAAGATATTTTCATCAAAACACAAATATTTCCACAAGAATTTTTTGGTTTTAATCAAATTTTCAAAAAAGCAACAGACGTTTTTTGAGTTTTCTTATGAATCATAAGAGATTTTTCTAGAATTTGTTTCGTTAATCTTTCTGGAAATTAATCGTTAATCTTTCCATGACTAATCTCCATTGCTTCTGCAAGTAAATCTTTGAATTCTTTGAATTCTTTGAATATTCTTTCTATTATGAGGCTATTTTTTTGGATTAAGATCTAAAGTTTTCTAGTAAGATTAGCTAGAATGTAAATTTTACGACTTTATCCTACAGAAAATATATTTATTCCAGTCGCCGCCACCTGGTTCAGTTTCCTAAAAAAACCCTCAAACTCACTTAAACTAAAACAAATTTTGTTTAAACTTGGTTTACGATATGAATACGATAAACGATTAGTTCTAATAGTGAAAATCCTGGGACTCGAGATCTTCTTTCTTTTATCTTTTAAAAGCTAATTAAATTTGCAGCTTTTAAAGCTGAAATAGACTTGTTAAAGGTTAAATCTACGGTTTTGAAATAAAA